GACTTTTAACAGGGAAAAACTCCCCAATCAAATGTGGGCCTGAAATGTTCTTTCTCCTAGAAGCAGTCTGGCTGCCTGCTCAGGGGGCTGTGATACCTTGCAGGTGACATCAAAAGGGCAGTTCTCCTATAATTTAGAGAAATTAATTGGCAGATCAAAGTGCTAGACATGTAGCACTCCAAGATGCTTTAGAAATGGCCCTGATGCCCCCGATCCCAAATTGAGTCCATTTTTTCCCCAAAATTGAGGAAGAACAGGCAAGTCAATGAGGACATAAATCAACAGAAATTGGCTGGTTGAGTGCAGGAGGGAAACTACAAAGTTTTACTGCCCCAAGCTGATCAGTGGAAATCTATTAAACGTATCCATGACTGTCATTTGGGGAGAAGTGTACTAACTATTTTAGTCATCTATGCCTTCAGGGAAAGGGGCCTGGAGTCTACTGTTTGAAAAAAAATCACAAAAGCTTGCCCCTCTGTCTTCATAATAACCTAGGGTGGGGTGGGGTGGAGGGACACAGAGCCACCACCTTGACTTACCTCAATACAACAATGAGTCACATTCCCTGGAGAAAACTGGCAGCTGGACTCAAGTCATATATAAATCTCTTAGTTTTGCTGACACTTTTAATGGGCAGATAAAAGCATATCCCTCCAGAACTAGAAAAGTCTCAAATGTTAAGGCTTTGTTAAAGCAAATCATTCCTAGGTGTGAACATCTTTCATCACCTCAAAGTGATAATGGACTTTCTTTTGTCTCCCAGGTAACACAGGTGGTCTTATGAGCTGAAGGTATAATTTATTATCTTCTTACCTCCCACCATTCTCAGTCATCAGGAACAGCTGAAAGGGCTAATCTACACATTAAAACAACCCAAGCAAAATTGTGCCAAGAAACTTGAGAGCTTTGCTTAAATCTGTTACCTGTTGCTTTGTTAAGAATTAAAATTGCTCCTAAGACTTTTCTCTAACTAAGCCTTTGTGAAATACTGTATGGCAGGTCTTCACTGCAGATACACTAAGAGATTATAAGATATTTTAAATAATATTAAATATGTAGTTAACTTAGGCCATCTACAAAATTCCTTAACATAATATGGTAACCAAATTGTTCTGGCTCCTGATACTGTAATCTATATCATAAAGGAAAAACTGGGGACCATGTCTTCCTTAAGACCTGGAAGAGGGACTGTCCCTCAGATCAGTCTTCCAAGATGAAAAGGTCTTTATCAAGTTATTTTAAGCACACTTGTGGCAGATAAAAGACAAGGACATACTTATAAGATTCATGTGTCCAGGGGAGCCTTATTTCATCCTGAGTCTTCCTAGAACCTGGAACCAATCAAAGACCCTGTTTCTTACTCCTATGAGCCTTTGGAAGACTTAAAGATCTTTCTCTAGAAAAAAAAACAACAGCAGCAACAAAGAGCTAACCCTTTTTGAGGTTATGAGTCTTACCTGACATTAATACTCTGTTTATATTTTTTTCTTGTTTTCTCTTTAGGTATAATTTTATATACTAGACAAATAGCACCCTGCTTAGCTCTTTTGATTTTTTCATTTGTGGGTTTTCTTTTGGGAACTATCCTCCTATTTTTATATATATTTATTTTTTAGTTGTAGTTGGACACAATACTTTTATTTTACTTATTTATTTGTATGTGGTGCTGAGGATCAAACCCAGGGCCTCGCACATGCTAGGCAAGCACTCTACCACTGAATCACAACCCCAGTCTTATTCTCTAATTTTTAAGTGCTTATCCTACTAATACTCAATTGTATCTAAGCTAAATCCTTATGTATACTATTACAGGATTACTATTACCTCCAACACTAGGAATTTCTGTCCTCGTTGTTTGGGGAGGAACTCTTTATCTATCTCAACTTATGCCATATATAGGAATTTGCTTAGGTCCCTTGTATTACTCAGGTTTTTTACTGTTTGTATTACTCAGATACTCAATTTAATATGTACATCCCCAGGAACTTCAATAAGATAATGTATACATAAAGTCATTATATATGCTGCTAATTTGTTTTATTCCCTTTTCCAGTGAAGAGTCAAACTCCTTCCTTGACTGGGTCCAAAACTGTGCTAAAGAAATTAACAAGGATAATTGCTGGATTTGTGGCCTGTAATCTATCCTGTAGTTCTTCAGGGTTACCTTGGTGGGTATCTCCTTTATAATAATTAGGTTAGACTTCAAATACTCATAAAAGAACAATGGGCAGAGTCCTCCATTTTATCCATTCCCATAGAAGCTAATGTATCTAAATGACTAAAAATACAAACTTTTCACCTAAAAAGTCATGGGAAATTTTTCTCAGAGACAGAAGCTCAGATGTGGATGTATGTGAAGCCTGAATTAGCTGAATTTCCTGTTATACATAAATTAGAGAAAACAAGCATAACAATTTAGAAGGTTTCTTTTAGATATGAAGTGGTTATATCTGGCTTGCTCCTACTGTAGGAAAACTTAATCAAATGGCTTCTGTCTGCCGAGAACAAAAACCACTATTCATTGGCTCATTAGGGAAACACAACTCAAAATTTGGGTTGAATACCTTTAGAAAACTATATTACCATACTCCTAAAAGAAATGGATTGGTTTACAACAGATCAAACATGGAGGTCAGGAATAAGAAGGCCAGCCCCAGATAACTCCTGAAAGCTTTGTGGTACTAATTTGTGGCCCTGCTTGCCACCCAGTTGGTTGGGAAAATATACACTAGGATATTCTTAGGCACAGTATGAAGGCTTTAGATGAGCCAGTCAATCTTCCTGTTTTGCAAAAATAGGCAGATGCTTTCTGTTTTCCATTGATAGGATCATCTGGCCTCCATCTTTGTCCCATAAGTAAGATTAAGAGGATTTTATATGGCATACTGAATCTCTTAATGAATATACACAAAAAGCTTTACATGATAACTATCCAAGGTATTTCATAATTAAATTCTGAGGTAATAAGGATAAGAAAGGCCATTCTACAAATTAGAATGGCTCTTGACATCTTAACAGTGGCAGGAGGTGAAACCTGTGCCCCTATGGAAGTAGTGTGTGACGTGTGTGCTCCTGGTAACTCTGGCAGTGCTGCTTTATTGCCTTCCTGGTGTGTGCTCACAGACCAGTGCTGTCTGATCCTGCCAGAGCTTTGATGATTTACCATGCTCCTTGCTTTCTGGAGCCCCCTGGTGGAGGAAAATCCTTTTCTTCCTACCTCTTATATTAGGTATTGGGATATTGGTTTGCTGTTTCATATTATTGCTGTGCAAAGCTGCATGGACTAATGCCTCCAATGCCTGTGCCTTCTTTTCCAGAACATCAAAAGTTGAGTCATCAGACAACAGAACCTGGCAATCCCAGGGTTAGATCAGTCAGGTTGAGACTTCTGGTCTCTAGCTGGGTAGGGCCATTGCCCGCCCCTTGTCAGCTGGAAGACATTTCAGAAGACGTATATTCAACCTTCATCTTCCCTTAAGAATAAGGGATCAAAGTCTCATTTGGAGAAAATGAGGTAGGATAGAAGACAAAATGGTAGTTAGAAAGGAGACATTTGGGGCCAAACAAGAGTGGCCATGATTTACCAGACTTAAAGTCCAGGTTTCCACATGCTTTGATCACAAACAGCCCTATTAAATCAATTGCCAGACCTTGTCCACAGTTCCATAAATAACCTCTCTTCTGAACTGGACCTAAAGAAAACATGTCTGAGAATTCTTTGGCTCGACAAATATATTTTTCTGTGATTGATACTTTTAGGATCTGATTACTTCATCCATGTGTCAATTTCTTGATAAAACCCTCAATGTGAGGCTGGGGGTGTGGCTCAGTGGTAGAGCACTCACCTCGCACATGTGGAGCCCTGGGTTCAATCCTCAGCACCACATAAAAATAAATAAATAAAATAAAGGTATTGTGTTCAACTACAATTCAAAAATATTTTTTTAAAAACCCTCAATGTTACACATGTAGCACTGTTTAGATCCATAAGCCAGGATGATGAGATCCCCACATGAGAAAATTGGTAAAGATTTTCATCAAAAACAAAGAAGTCTTCAAAAAATACAACAAAAAAGATCTAAAAAAAATACAACACCTAGTAGATAACAGTTAACATGTCAAGTCACCAACATAAGGGAGAGAACTAAAAATACCCTCTTTGATCATGTCTCTCTGCTGAAGATTTTACACATATAAACATGCCTTGCTAAGGTGAAGCCAGCACATGCCTCTCCAAATCCTGCACTCCACCGTGTCTCTGTGTATGCACTTCTTGCTTTCTCTTCACAAAATCAGTCCTTGCCTCCCTTGGACCAATCCTTACATTCCTTTCTGCAAAAATGTTCAGGACCTCGCCACCTGAGTTGAGATCTATCTCCCTTTTGGGGGATGTCTCCAGGACCCCAGTCCTGGTGACAGGTTCACTAAGCAGAGATACTACATTTAAGGTAGTAATTCAGGAAATTAGGAAAGGCCTAATAGTTTTCTGTTATTGTATCATGTTTCTTTCTTTTTACTTTGTTTTGTTTTGCTTTTTGGTCAGCTGAAACTTGGAACCAAAGGTGGCCCACTATAAGAGCCTTGTTAAAACATTCAGGACAGGATTCAGAGTCTAAGGGAGATCTGAATATTAGCTTGGGTTTGACTTATTCACACTAAGAGGGCCTTCCACCAATACCCTGAGCAACAATTTGTGAAGGGAACCCTGTCATTGTTGAAGGACTCTGTGATCACTCTTCTCTCTGGGGCAGACCTGGCAACAGGAACTGCAGGAACTGAATTGGAAAACGTAAATGAAATTGGAGCAATTGAATCCCATGGTGACAGGAGCCAAATGGATTCATTCAACCACCAAGGGCAAGATGGGCATGATTATCAGAATAGAGAGCAGATTCAAAGCAGCAATCAGAATAGTGTGGGCGGAAGAGAGCTAGGGCGTGGCGGGGCTGGCTGGCCTGGGCATTCAGAGACAAGATGCAGGACCCCAAAGCAGACGCTGAATGGAATGGCATCTTACGCAAAAAGGGCATCCTGCCCTCGAAGGAAAGCCTGAAAGGATTGGACTAGGAAGCGCGCGAATCCTCCAACAGTCAGTGGTGAAAACATACGAAGACATGACTCTGGAGGAGCTGGAGGAGAATGAAGATGAATTCAACAAGGAGGATGAGCGGGCCATTGAGGTGTACAGGCAACAAAGACTGGCTGAGTGGAAAGCGACCCAGCTGAAGAACAAATTTGGAGAAGTTTTAGAGATCTCAGGCAAGGATTCTGTTCAAGAAGTTACAAAAGCCAGGGAGGGCTTGTGGGTAGTCTTGCACTTTTACAAACAAGGGATTCCTCTCTGTGCCCTGATAAACCAACACCTGAGTGGACTTGCCAGGAAGTTTCCTGATGTCAAATTTGTCAAAGCCATTTCAACCACCTGCATACCCAACTATTCTGATAGGAACCTGCCCACAGTGTTTATTTACCTGGAAGGTGACATCAAGGCTCAGTTCATTGGTCCTCAGGTGTTTGGTGGCATGAAGCTGAGGAGAGATGAGCTGGAGTGGAAACTGTCCGAGTCTGGAGCAGTCAAGACAGACCTGGAGGAAAAACCCAGGAAGCCCATTGAAGACACGCTGCTATCCTCAGTGCTCGGTCCCCATAAGGAGGGACAGTGACTCTGAGGGAGACTAAAGCCGCAGCTGACATAATTTGCTGAACTTTCTTGATGTGACAAATCAACTGAATTTTTTTTTTTTTTTAAGAAAAAAGAGCTGGGCCTGGGCCTGAGGCGCCAGGTCCTAGGGCCGGAGGGGTGGCCTGAGCACGGAGCTGGGGGAGGCTGGCGACCTGGGAGGCCCCTCTGAGAATGGAAGAAAGGAGAAGGAGCAAGCAGGAAGGAGCCTTTGGTTTTAAGCGTTTTTATGAGTATATTTCCTAGCGTGTACATTTTAGAAATAATCATTGCTGGGAATCCTATTCAATTTCTTGGAACTCTTTTTTAAAAAAATTAATAATACTTTCTTTATAAAAAAGTCAGGACTTGTTACTGGCATGACAGAGATGTCTGTTTTCCCACTTGCATTTTAAGTAAGCCATAAAGCTGTGTGTTCTCTATTTTTTGATGTGTAATTAGTAAAAGGGATATGAGTTTTTTAAAAAATCGTGAATAAGTTATAGTGAAAAAACCACGAATTAAGTTTTATAGTTACATTAAATATTTTATAAACTAGCAACAGTTATCAACATATGAATGATCTTTACAGAAAAAACTTTGTTCTATCCTGCTGAGAAGAAACATACAATTCTTGCAAAACATTGTTTTATCAAAGCAATAACTGACAGGTTTAATTTACTGTCATTTCTTCAAGTGTTTTTTTTTTTCCTAGTTAAAATAATGTTTACCTCAGTCTGTTGAGATAGGGAATCTTGATTACTGTAAAAGGCCATATTAAATTCTTTTTTGGAAGTAAAATTTAAGCAGTCACATAAAAAAAAATAGTCTGACTCATGCACACCTACCACAAATGCCTAATTGGTTATCGTGTTCCTAGAAGTGAAATAAGAAGCTTACTAAAGTCTTACTTGATCTGAATAAGCAGAAAAGCTCCAAGTCTTGTAAACAAAAGTGTCCAGATTGTGTGTCCATCAATGTGTCCATAAATGCAGAGTCATAACTTTTAATGCATTACTATTAGGATTGTAAACTGGTCTGACAGCTTTAGAAAACGCTTTAGCATTATTATTTTAGTAATGTGATCATATGCATATTCTACCACCTGGCAGTTTCCTTCCAGGTGTATTCTGTAAAGTAACTCTCTCTCTCTCTCTTGTGCATCAGAAGACAGGCACAAGAATGCTTGGAACTGCAATATGCTACCCAAACACTCATCAACAGAAGCATATTTGTACAATGGAATATTAAGCCACAATGAAAAAATTAACTAGTTATTCACATCAATATGAGTAAATCTAGGACACAATGCTGAGTGCATGGATACATACAATCTAATTCTGATAGGAAAAAATTAAGCATTCTATTGTTTCCAAATAGATTTCAGTTGGTAAAATCTCCAAAGAAAGTCTAGGGATTCTAAACATGTTTTTATACTGATGGGAAAGATGCCATTTAAAGCAGGAAACTGAGGAGTATGATCAAAAAAGAGAAACTGTTGAAGTAAAGTGTCCAGAATAAAGAAGGAAATGGACTTCAGAAAGTTATTGGAGAAGTGTTTTATCCATATGTTTATTGTATGTTTTCATTGTTTAAAATATAATCACAAACCTGTAACCCACTTATTACAAACTTACAGGATAGTAGGAAATACAAGGGCAAAATTGTTTAATGAACAATTTGAGAAAGATGACCTATTACCCTCTAATACTTTAGTGTATATTCAACAAACAAGAAAATTCTAACCACAATCAAGGAAAAGTAACCACAACACAGTTATCAAATCAGAAAGTTTACATTGATATTAACTCAGATGTTAACCTTAAATGGCAGATTAGATGTTAAATTAGATTTAGGTGTCAAATTAGATATTAATTCTGATGTTATTGATGATTTTTATTGAATCCTGAATTCAGATTTTGACAGTTGTTTCCATATATTCTTGTATAGCAAAAAAAGTTATGCTTTGGAATCACGTGTTGCATTTAGTGTCTTCCACTCTGAATCAACTCCTCAATCTTTCCATGTTATTTATGACCATGACACTTTTTTTATTTGTTCTTTTTCGATATACATGACAGTAGAGTGTATTTTAACATATTATACACACATAGAGAATAATTTCCCATTTTTATGGTGGTGCATGATGTGGAGTTTCACTGGTGGTGTATTCATTAAGAACATAGGAGAATTGTGTCTGATTCATTCCATTGTCTTTCCTATTGCTATCCTTACCCTTCCCTTCATCCTCTTTTGCCTTCTATTCTTCCCTCCCCCCTCTTATTTCATATCAAAGGGAACATTTGACCTTTATGACTATAGCACTTTTTTTTTAGTTGTAGTTGGACACAAATACCTTTATTTTATTTATTTTTTTATGTGGTGCTGAGGATCAAACCCAGCATTTCGTACATGCTAGGCGAGCGCTCTACCACTGAGCCCCAGCCCCAGCCTCGGACCATAGCACTTTTTAAATTGCAGGGTTTTGTTTCGTTTTGTTTTTACTGTCCCTCAATTTACATCTGTATATTTGCAGATCTCGAAATTCAAGAAATGAATCATGGAAGGAATATCATAAAAGTAATACAGTATCCATTGCATTTCATCAGGTGGCATGTGATTCACATTTGTGTCATTGTTGATGATGTTTGTTCTAATGACTTGAAAATACCACTGAGAGGGGCATACTGACTATGCAAGACCATAATGCTTTTTCTTTCCCCGCTTCATTGTTAATAAGTATTTCATGGGTATATAATTTGAGATGGTGCATATATTCTATTTCTAACCAAACTTTCCATTTATTATTTAACTTTATCTGTACAGAATTGTGGTTTTGTAATTCATTCAATAGGTCTTAATCTATTACTACTACAGTTTATTTAGATGCTCAAATTGTCCTAAATTTGGTTAGCATGAGCCCATCAAGTTAGTTTTTAAGAACTTTTCACATGCTCCCATCTCTCTTTGAGAACTTCTTTGCTTTCTGCCATAAGAAATTGTTGTCATACTCTTTTTGTTCGATCCCTGGACTCATCTATCTTCCCAAAGCTTTTTTATAAATAAAAATGGTACGTAGAAGCCACAATCTGGGTGCTAGTCATGTTTATTGCTATTAAAGTGTCACTCCTCTCCTCTCCATCCTTGATAATACATTTATGTCTACATTGCTTTCTATGTATACTGAAAACCATGAGTTCACATATATATATCTTCAATTGCAATTCCACATCACAGATTACTCTCTTTTTATAATTGCTACCCATTCTCCAACAATAAGAACTCTGGCTCTCATTCCCTTTCTACATCTCCTTATTTGCTCATTTCCCCCTGTGTGATCAGTCTCCTGTCCCAATGATGCCACCCCTTGCCCAGCATGGGTACCTCCCTATCCAGACCTGGCACTGACTCAACCAAGATGACTTTGACAATCCCCTTAGATTGACTAAACTGTGGACATGCTTTTTCCTGATGATAGGCCCCTAACAAAAGCTCTCCCTTTTCTTAAAGCATTCATTTTAGAATTTTTAATTGTAAATTCATTCTCTGCCCTATTACAATGCATGTAAATCTTCTCTCAACCTGTTGCCAATTTTACAGCCTAGGGAATGTTTTTCTTAAAAGCCAGGAAACTATGTCGTGGAAATGTAAACATCATGGAAGGTAATATCTATCTCTATGTCCCAGGCTCTGTGGGAGGTGGAATCAAAATGTGATGAGTGCCAAGCAACCCAGACAGATGGCCTATTTACAGAGAAAAATGCTTAAGAATCAGGAGTAACCCAATGTGCTCAACACATCTACCCCCTATACTAGTCAGCTTTTGCATCACTGTGATCAATATATCTGACAAGAACATCTTACTGTAATATAAGTTTATTATATTAAATCTCTCAATATTTCAGAGGTTCAGTTCATGGTTGGCCCAAGGTGAAGCAGGCCATCATGGCAGAAGGATGTGGCAGAGGACATGGCTCAGGACATGGCAACCAGGAAGCAGAGGAGAGAGAGAGAGCTCTGTTCATTAGGGACAAAATATAAACCCTGAGACATACCCCCAGTGACCTACTTCCTCCAGCCACACCCTACATGCCTACAGTTAATTAATATCAGTGAATTAATCCACTGATATTGTTACCCATCTCGTAATCTAATCATCTCACCTCTGAACATTCTTGCATTGTCTTAAATGAACTTTTTTTCTTTTTTAATTTAATTGATTTTGTTTTTTAAATACAAGACAGCAGAATGCATTACAATTCTTATTATACATATAGAGCACAATTTTTCATACCTTTATATATAAAGTATGTTCATGCCAATTCATGTCTTTATACATGTACCTTTTTTTGCACTACGATTCTTATTACACATATATTCCACAGTTTTTCATATCTCTGTCTATAAAGTAGGTTGACACCCAATTCATGTCTTTATACATGTTCTTTGGATAATGATGTCCATCACATCACCATCCTTGCTAATCCCCTGCCTCCTCCCTTTTTTTTTAATAAAGAAAAATGGTTTATTTTGACTCATAACTTTAGAGATTTCAGTTCATGATCACGAGCAGACTCATTGCTTTTAGGCCTCTGGTGGGGGTGCCAGATGGCAATAGCAGGGAGCTCATAGTAGAGAAAACTACTCCCCGTATGGCCAGGAGCAAGAGAGACAGAGGAAGGGGTTTGGTGTCCCACAATCCACTTCAAAGTCATGCCACCAATGGCCTAAGTACCTCCCACAGTATCCCTCTTCATGAAGGTTCTGTCACCTCCCAATAGTGCCACCCTGAGGACCAAGCCTTTATCACCTGGGCCTCTGAGGATATTCAACCTCCAAACCACAGCACCTGCTACAGACCAATACCTAAGGCCACAGCAGCTATGTGGTATGGGAGCTTTAGGTCCTGCTTCTGGAACCTGGCAATGTGGCTGATGATCAAAGAAATATGCATAAAACAGCAATGTGGCTTACAGGGCCCTCCTTCCACGAGATCTATTTACG